TCTAATATAATTTATAAATCTATGAAGAAAATTCGAAAATGAAAATATTGATTTACATTTTCTAAATACTCAATATTTTTATTGATTATATATATTAGAAAAAGAATCTCGTCAAAAAGATAAGAGAAATATTTTTCAATCTATCGTTCAAACATCGGCTAGTAAACAAATTTATTTATTTGTTATTTTTCTTGTTCATGAAAACAAGTATATTTTGATAAAATAAGCATAGAAATCCATTTCATCGTCGATGACTAAATATTGATGAAATGTTCTCGGAATTACCATCATCACAAGAAGTATTAGCACAATAATTATCCTTATGTTTATAATAATTCATATATTATTGATATTGCCAAACCCATTGAAGAACGTGCAATTGAATTAAATTTACAATTACAACAACGAAAATAGGACACAGATGCAATGAAAACAAAAATAGCTGATCTTAAATATGAGATAAGAACATAAAGCCAGTGTTTACAGAAAATAATGGAACAGAATTATTCTCAATCAATATACATATTTTTATTTTAAAAACCGTGCGTGATTCTCTTATAGATCCTTGTATTTTGTAATTACCATTTGGTCAGAATCTAGCGCGAACGGAGTTTACCTTTGAAGAACAAGATCTCGCACATTAAAATGTCGTAAAACATCATTTAACTGTTGTATTAGTACTAAATTCAATTATACTCTTTATTATTTTTTTTTAGTAGTCCACAACCAATCAGAATTATATAATTATAAGGCTTAATATTGGTGTGTTCGTCAATATATATCTATATGAATGATGTCAACATAATCTATTTCGAATTCTCTGTCATGATCACATCTATTTTTATAATGATAAAATCTACATATATTTCCATCATTTGCATGATCGAAAACAAAACAAAAAAAATGAATGCTTATCATTATTGTCTTGTTTTTTTCTCATCTTGTTTCACTATAACAAAAGATATGAAAAAGTAAAATGAAAGAAGTTTCGATTAGGAAAATACACATTTCCTTATCAATTCTGTATATGTTTATCGTCGTCACGGATTTCAGATTAATTTTTATTATTCTACTGTCTAGTTACTCCGATACGTTATATTTAAATACACTGTTAGTAGCTGATTCTCGTAAAATAACAAGTAATTGCTTTAACTCCAAATAGTGAAATTATGCTATTGTTATAGATGAAAAAATAAATGAGGAAACGATTCCAGTAATTGTTGTTTTTGTTTGTAGGCAACCACAATCTTTTTATTATTTATTGAATCAAAATTCTAGTACGATATTATTCATCCGTTTTGTCTTAATTATTATTTATTACTGAATATTTTTGGTTTTTTTTTCTATGATGATAAATACACATGAGCAAATTATAAATTGAAAGAGAAAAAATAAATAGATTAAAAAAAAAGACTTAAATGAACTGGAACATGATTATAAATATTATGTTACCATGAATAATCAAACTTGTTCAAAATGTTGGTTTTTCATTTCGTACTTAGATTTTGATCTCATTACGAATCATATTTTGAAAAATAACAGACACATTAAAAAAGCATACCATGGCACTTTATTTCCATTACAACGTCCATTAATTGAAATTGGTCTTCTTAATACAAAAATTTATGATAATAATTTTTAAACAACTATCCAAGCTTTTTCTCATATAAAACTTATTTGCTTTCATATCCCTGTGTATTCATTGAGAATTTTTTATCAAAGCTAAACCAAATGTCTATTCTGCATTAATTACTGGTGTTAACATATTTTTGTTTTCAGCTTTTTATTAATCAAAATACTTCTAACATTATTAAATATTATACGTTATCACAGAATGAAAAACATCTTAACAAGTGAATAATCACTTCAGGTCTGACGAAAATTATTCGTTGAGATAAAGTAACAAATGACCAATAGGTAAAAGATCCCTCATTTGATTTTTCATTTAGATACACTATTCATTTTACTGATAGATCAATAGTCTCTACCTGTTGTTCTCGATATCCGATTATTTATTATTCAAGTGTAAATTATATAAAATATGCTTTTTATAGTCTTTACGGACATAACTATCCGTAATTGTTACCATTTTTCTGGTTTACTATAAATATATGCAATAATATTTTGTAATTTCAATTCAACGTCATCAATATATGCTATTCTGCCAGCGCCATTTTGTTTAATAGAAACGTCAGTCGTATGCGTAAATTTATGCCTACTGACATATTTCCAAAGCTGGACGAGTGAAATCTGACTTGACTTGTCTAATTTTGCATTCTACTAACTTTACATTGTGAGTTCTAGTATTTTTCTAAATGAAGAATAATAAACTTCACAAATGTGAACAATTTTCGTTATATTTTATATACAAATCAAGAAAACGCCAAATATTCTCTTTTCGAAAGAACGATGAATACTATGAAAGAATCATATACAAATCATTCTTCCCAAATTCAATTGTTTTTATTAAGTAGAAACGGAAGAAATGATCTGTTAAACATGATTTTATCCGGCTTCAGATCAATTCAACATATCCATAGAATCGTGATCAAATGATTATTTCTCTGATTATGATAGAATCAGTACATTTGAATGGTATTTCTTTAATATTTACTTCGAGATGTTACAAAAAGAGAATTGAATATCTCTCAAACTATTAAAACAAAAATGGATTTAACACATATAATCATCCATATGTCTGTGTAGTTTTGACATGATTGATTTATTTTAATTAGTTTTCATGTGATGTAAGAAGAACAATCTGAATGTGAAAAATATTGTGCAAGAATTCTAAACCAATTTTATACAAATAGTGAAGAATATGTTCTTGATGCAAGATTTGTAAAAATTATAAAAATGAAAACAATTGAATCAGTATGAATAGCTGCATCTGGTTTATAAACAAACTTGAAGGATCAAAATACACTTGGTAAAATTTTCATTTTATTTTAAAAGCTATTTAATTGAATACTTTAGAATCCTTGAACTTTGAATGGGTTAAAATTATTGACCATTTATAGCTGCTGTTATTTTCATGTTAAAGAAAAAAGTCGAATGGAAAAGCAAACTGAGCATTGAACAATGATTTAGATATCTGTTATTAATACAGAAAACAATTCTATTGAACTGTTTCATCATTAGATTTTATCTCAAAAAATTAGCTTTTCTAATTTTGAATTGCAATCACTTTAATTTACTATCCGTTTGAATTTCCATTGCTTTTTGCAGTACAGATATGACTCTTCTATATCATGTTCATCATTCGCTACGCATCTTTCGCAATCTCAAAGATATGTAAGTTTTAGTAATACAGTGCTACCAAAATTCATCTTGTTTTAGATAAATGTTTTCGCCAACAGCTGTTACAAGCAATTTTAGTATTTTCATGATGTTATCTTCGGCATAAGGTTGGTACTTTATCTTTACTTTACTCTGTTAAACAGATTACAGTATATGCATTTGATTGTACCAGGTGAAGTAAAGTTAGTTACTTTACTTTATTAGTTAAAGTAAAAGTCAAGTGCAACCTCTAATTTTGCTTTCTTGAGCGTTTGACACAACAAAATATCCCAAATTCAAATGGTTCAATTTAGTCGGTTATTTTGGGAGTTTTCACTAAAAGCTGCCGATAGTTGCGTTGGTGCATACTAGAGTCCTATGACATAAACTTGTTCATGTTCAAAATACTGTTTGTCTTGTCCAGAAAGTGTTTCAATAGCTTCGATTCTGAATCAGAGGGTTTGGTTGCTGATACGAGACTTTGTATTAGCGCATCTAGGCACTCAACATCACCCATCTCCATATCTACAAGCATGCCTACCACACCCTATATTCATTCTGTCATACAAAATAATATGTTATTAATAAACCTCGTATGACTCGCGTAAGAATGGTTCTAAATCCTCACAGATTGCAACTCTGTATCAAGATCGGAAGCAGACATGAATGAGAGTAGGAAAGTTCTAAAATAATACGTGCTCATATTGAATTCAAAACTACCTATTAACAGATTGTTTTGGGAAAAAAATTAAATTAAAGAATTTTCATGCAAAACTTTGCCAGCAGATAGATTCTAGTTGTTCATAGAATATCTGCAAAGTTTCAATCAAAATAACTATACATTTTTCGTGCTAGAACAACTTCCTTACTAGCTATTTGAAGTTTATTGATATGATTTCTCTCTTGCTATGAAAGTGAAAATATTTTGATCTGTCAAAAGAAGCCGCATCAGTCCCAATTCTTTGGGGTATCTGCAATGATTATGGATACATTAGATACATTTTCTTTAGTAGGTATGTTTAGGATCTCGATACTCTAGTTACGAATATTATGATATTCCTCTTTATGATATTTAACTGTAAAACGCCTTTGTTATAAGTAGAAATCAAAGCAACCGTGCGTCGATTCATGCCCACAAAAAATGATATATTTCAGTTGAAAACAAAAGACATTGTCTAGTAGAGATGGGCAAGTTGAAAGTTTTTATTATCTAAGTTAAATCAGACTTGGCTGGATTCAAGTCAGAAAATGATTATATATTCTCATTTAGTCAGTCCTTATATGGAGTACATCAATGTCTTTCAATTTTTTCTGTTCCTATTCTAATACCTAGTTTTAGTTCGACAAGAATAAGACGAATAGCTCATATAACTATAGTCACTTTTTTGAGCTGACTAGCGGCTTGGTTTTGCAGGCCAAGTTAAAAGTCAACTTACGTTGTCTAAATAAGTTTTAAAGTCAAATCAGACTTGACACATAATATTAAACAAATGTTGAACATCCTCAAAAACCAAATTAAGACATTATTTGATTATACAAAATAATTATATATATGTATAGTATACGAGTCAGAATATGTACCATATCCAGTACCAGATTTATTATAAATTATTTTTTTTAGAGTCTAAAATTTTGAATTTTTAAAAATAAATCTTAATATTATTGTTTCAAAAATGAAATAAATATAAAAAAATTAATCAGTACTGAGGAATAGCCGAATTCTAAATGTTTTTTTTACATTTTGGTATTTTCAAATCTTCATATTCTGGTATTTTAGTTAGATTTATTAATGTAAAATTGTCTGCTTGACCAACCACAACAGAACGTGGAGCTTCATTATACAATTTCTGCCATTGTACTACTAATTCCGGTGTCCATTTTAGTTCCTTTAACCATTTTCCAAGTTTTGCATAGTCAAATGTTGATCTTTAGACAGAAATATTTGAAACAAAAAATAACTCAATTAAAGTAATAAAACCTCTAGACTTACTCAGAACGATTCATTACTCGTTTCCATGCTTATTCAGAATTGAATGACAAGCAACCGTAAAAATTTTTCATACGAGGATAATAAAGAAAGTAATGTAGACACATTTCATCTTTTGTTCTTTCACCACCCTAAACTTCTATATTTAT